GAGTATAAATGGGCACAAAGGATCTTTTTGGAGTGATAGAAATTTTCTAAAATTGGATTATGGTGATGGCTGTAAGTTTAAAATTAAGTGGGTGAATTTTATGACACAGTATATAAACTATAGCTCAAAAAAGGTATTTTAAAAATTCTCTATAAGAAAACTCCAAGCCCATGTGGTTTTAGTTATGAACTATACCAAAAATTTAAGAAAATTATTTCAATTTTATTTTTATTTTTTTTAAATGTTGATTTTAGAGTTTTATTTTCTATTTCATTGTTGTTTAGTTACAGTTGTCTGTATTTTCTCCCCATACCTCCCCTCCACCCCCTCCAAACCCACCTCCCTCCCTTGCTTCCACCCTCTCCCTTGGTTTTGTCCATGTATACTTTATAGTAGTTCCTAAAAACCCTTCGGCCCACAGTCCCCTCCCTCCTGCCTACTGTTATATAGTTCTTAATTTCAATGACTCTGGTTATATATTGTTTGCTTTTTTCTTTTGATTACATTCCAGTTAAAGGTGAGATCATACGGTATTTATCCCTTACCAACTGGCATATTTCACTTAGCATAATGCTCTCCAGTTCCATCCATGCTGTCCCACACAGTAGCAGCTCCTTCTTTCTCTCTGCTGTGTGGAATTCCACTGTGTAAATGTACCATCATTTTTTGATCCACTCATTTGCTGATGGGCACTTAGGTTACTTCCAGCACTTGGCTATTATAAATTGTGCTGCTATGAACACTGGGGTGCATAGGTTCTTTTGGGTTGGCGTTTCAGGATTTTTAGAGTATAATCCCAGCAGTGGAACTGCTGGCTCAAAAGGCCATTTTTAGTTTTCTGAGGAAGTTCCATACTGTTTTCCACAGTGGCTGCACCAGTCTGCATTCCCACCAACAGTGCAAATAGGGTTCCCTTTTCTCCACAGCCTCTCCAACAAACACTTGTTGTTTGTTGATTTATGTTGGCCATTCTGACAGGTGTGAGGTGGTATCTCACTGTGGTTGTAATTTGCATCTCTCTGATGGCTAGTGATGCTGAGCATCTTTTTATGTGTCTCTGGGCCTTCTGTATGTCTTCCTTGGAGAAGCGACTGTTCAAGTCTTTTGCCCATTTTTTAATTTTTTTTTTTTGTGTGTCTTCCTGCAGTGGAGTAGTGTGAGTTCTTTATATATTTTGGAGATCAAGCCATTGTCTGAGGGAGGTGTCATTGGCAAATGTTTTCCCATATGGTTAGCACTCTTTTCATTTTAATGCTGTTTTCTTTAGTCATGCAGAAGCTTTTTAATTTGATGAAGACCCATTTGTTTATTTTTTCCTTTATGTCCCTTGCTTTAGGGGACATATCTGTGAAGATATTACTGTGTGGAACGTCTGAGATTTTCCTGCCAGTGTTTTCCTCTAGGACTTTTATGGTGTTATGACACATTTAAGTCTTTTATCCATCTTCAATTTATTTTTGCGTATGGTATAAGTTCGTGATTGAGTTTCATTTTTTTGCATGTAGCTGTTCAGATCTCCCAATACTACTTGTTGAAGAGGCTATTTTTGCTCCCTTTTATGCTTCTTCCCCCTTTGTCAAATATTAATTGACCATAGAGACTTGGGTTTATTCTTGGGCTCTCTGTTCTGTTCCAGATTTTTTTTTATTTTTTAAAAATATGTTTATTGATTTGAGAGAGAGAGAGAAACATCAATGTGAGAAAGAAACATTGACTGGCTGTTGCCATACATGCCCCAACCAGGGATCAAACCCATGACCTAGGTATTTCCCCTGACTGGGAATTGAACTAGCAACCTTTTGGTGCATGGGACAATGCTCCAACTAACTGAGCCACACTAGCCAGGGCTGATTTCAATTTTATAAGAGGATGGAACACTTCAAAACTCATTTTGTAAGGTCAGTATAATTCTGATATCAAAAGCTAACAAAAACTTGACCAAAAAAAAGGAAATTGTAAACTAATATCACTCATAAACATAGATACAAAAGTCCTTAACAATCTATTAGCAAATTGAATTTTGAGGTATATAAAAATTATATATCATGACCAAGTAGGGTCTATCCCAAAAATACAAGGTTGATTTACTACCGGAAAATTCAATATAATCTACTATATAATAATACATATATCACGCCATTTACACCAACTAAGTTTAGAACAGGAAAACTGATCTGTTGTAAAATCTAAATCTAATATAAAATAAAAATCAGAATAATAATTGCCTGGGGTTGATGGGAGACTGGCACTGGACAGGGGGGAACTTCCTAAAGATATGGAAATGTTCTGCATTATGATTGGGTTGTGAGTTTTACATGAATTTATATGACTGTATCTGTTGCATTTCAATATATGTAAATTTTACCTTCCAAAACTTTTAAAAGTAGCAAGTGGAAGGATGGGGAATGGATAGAAGTACATTAAACAAGAATGACAGGATACAGATGTGTTGAAGCAGGGTGATAAATCCATGGGAATTCATTATACTAGTCTGCTTTTAGTTTTAATTTGTATAATAAAAAGTAAAAATAGTACAAAACACAGCCATGGCTGGTGTGGCTCAGTGAATTGAGCTCTGGCCTGTAAACCAAAGGGTCACCAGTTCGATTCTCAGTCAGGGCACATGCCTGGGTTGCAGGCCAAGTCCCCCAGTAGGGTGCATGTAAGAGGCAACCACACATTGATATTTCTCTTCCTCCTTCCCTTCTCCTCTCTTTAAAAATAAATAATAAAATACTTTTAAAAAACACAAAAGAGGTTTTTAATTGAGAACAAGTTAAATGAGTCAAAGTTTTGTGGCTCCCCACCATCACCAGGAAAATAATTTCCTGTACCATATAACTAATAAGAGTATAATGAATAGTTCTTGCCTATATGTTGTGTTTAGGTTAAGGAAGAAAACGGTTAAAAGGGCTTGCTATTACATACTCTATCAAGAACTGGTAAAATTTATTAGGGATGATAAATGTCAAGAACTTAATATCATGTTTTTAATATCTGAAGCACTGTCACTACTGAGTCTGTTTAGCCAAAATACACAATTAGAAACTGGGGTAAGGGGCATGGAAGTTTCAGAAAGGGTTTTCAGCTGTTATAAAAATAAAAACTCGAACAATTCTAGTTTCCAAAAAGCATAGGGGCTGTCGCTGAAGATAATTCCCCTATTCATGGAGATATTCAAATAGAAGTTAGACATTTGTACACTGGCAAAAACCACTAGGAGAAAACAGCTATTGAGTTTCCTTCTAACAGAGATTTTGCAGGTGTTTGAACTACTTCCTATTTTAATCTAAATTAAGAGAGAGAAGCACAGGGCCTTGTAGGAATTATTTTAAAAAGAATTTATCAGAGGGGTGGGTGAATTGGAGGTATGTTGTTTAAGGGTACAGACTTGCAACCAGTAGATAAATAAATCCTGGAAGTCTAATGCATTAGCATAGTGATTATAGACAACAAAAATGTATTATAAACTTAAAAGTTGCTAAGGGCCTAAAAACATAAAATAATTCATCCAAAATGCAGTATCCCAATAAAAACTGTAATACCACTACAAAACCCAAACTTAGTATTTTGGCACTTATAGCTAAACAGTATGCATAGAAATTTTTTTTTAATTTTATTTAGTTATTTTTCAAGTACAGTTTTTTGTCTATTTTTCCCATTCCAGCCTCCCCCGCCCCTTGCACCCCACCTCCCTCCCATTTCCACCCCCCCCTTAGTTCTCGTCCCTGTGTCCTTCCTATTTGTTCCTCCAGAAATTTTTAAATTACCACAAAAATGAGTGGTTTTAGATTTCTGGGCTGAACTGAAGATTTCCAGGTTAACATTTCTTGATAAAGTAATAAGACAAATTGTACAACTAATCACAACATGCAACCCCAGGTACTGCATCCCCTTTCCTAAAAGAATAGTGATTGTTTTGAGACCTTCCTCTGAACTAAGTACTATGGAGTAATCAAAGTATAAGACAGGAACTTGATTCTTAGGAACCTTACAATTTACAGCCCTGACTGGTGTGACTCAGTGATTGAGCATTGTCCTGAAAAGTCAGGGGTCACCGTCACCAGTTCCATTCCCGGTCAGGGCACATACCTGGGTTGCTGGCCAGGACCCAGGTTGGGGGCACGCAGGAGGCAGCCAATTGATGTTTCTCTCACATATGGATGTTTCTCTCCCTCTCTTTCTCCCTCCTGTTCCCTATCTCTAACAAATAAATAAAATTTTCAAAACTATATATTAAGAAAAAATTTAACTACCAAGGTAAGACATGCCTAAAAAATAAGCCGGCAACACATAGTAGTACCTGATTAAGTGAGAGAAGAGAGTACATATAAGACCTACAGAGAAATAGAAAGAGCATTCTGTTACGGTGGCTTCAGCAGGATAACTTGAGTTAAGGGAACTTAAACTGAGACTGAAAGAATTTAGACAGGAAGCAAAATGGAGTGGGAAGGAGGCAGGCACTTCCAGAGCAGAGCAGGGTAAAGCAAGCAATGTGATGAGGTAACCTGAAAATAAACCTGAATTTTGTCTCCACAAAACCGCCAATATCTCCCCAATACCTTTGGTTCTCCAATTCCTTCCCACACCTTGAAAGTGTGGTCCTTGAACAATCAGCATCACCAAACATCTGGGAATTTGAACTGCAATTACTGGGGACCCATCCCAGACTTAATGAATCAGAAAGTAGGAGACAACAATCTGTGATTTAACAAACCCTTCAGGTGACTGTGATACTCAAATTTGGAAATCACTGCTCTAGGACTACCTGCTACGCACAACTTTCCGCACATGAAAGTGATGAGATCTGAGTGACACACAGCCACTTCGCTGGATGGAAGAAGGGAATTGATGGCAGATCTCAACCATCCATGAGTTCCGTCTTTGGCCCAGTTTTCGCTTCCTCCTCCCGTACACCTAGTTCCAATCACCACTTTCTTTGCCATTGCCTCCCGTTTTACTCTACCCTCACAGGGCCCGCTCCCGCCCCACCGCCCTACCTCAGTGTCAGAGGGGACGTGGTGCCGGCAGGGAGGTGAACTGTCCAAGGAGACAGGAAGAGATGTAGCGCTGGCCCGCACAGCGCCCAACAAGAGTAAAACGCCTCGGACCCACAAAGGACTACTCCAGCCCCAACGGCTCGAGCCCGGGCCTGAACCCGAGGAACTCACTCCTCCAACCCACTCGGACGCCATCTTCGGGCTGAGCGTCGTTACCATGGACTACGTGACGCCTCCACGCCCGGCGCCAGCCCCGCCCCTCACCGCTCTGGACAGGTGGTGGGGGTGCCTCTATCGAAAAGCTGTTTTTTGGTTGGCCAGCGTCACCCGCAAGAAGTTCACCACGAACCTTCAGACGTGTCTCTTTGCGCGAAGTCAGCCAATAAATGCTGTCTAGCGGCCCACGTGAGTTGGCCTGTGAGACCAATGATGTTGATAGTGATAGGGCTGGCGGTATATAGGTGTCTTTACTAAGGAGTGTTTTAGTCTTTAATTCAGTTCCGGAAAGGGTATGTACCCACTAGGTGCCAGGTGACTTAGACAAACATGAACCGCTGCAGAATTTTTTATGGTTTAGCACTGTATGTAAAAGGTGAATGAATATACTTTTCATTTTTAATTCTTATTGTAAGTCACCAATTGCAGGCCCATTTCTTCTAGTCATTTACTGTGAAATCAACGATTTGTCCTTTATTATTCAACCCCTCCCCTTATTTAAAACCCCAAAATTGAAATTGTATTAACCCAGTAAGAGATTGGGTGGATCCTTGCCCTTAAGGGCACTAACCTTCCAAACTAAGTCGTGCAGGAGGGTGGGGGTTAGGGAGTGGAAGAGCAAAAAAGAAAAAGGACTCATGGCCATGGACAACAGTGTGGTGATTGCAGAGGGGAGGGATAAGGGTGGAGGTAGAAGAGGGTGTAAGGAGGATAAATGGTAATGGAAAAAATACAATACTAGAAAAAAAAATGAGCTGTGAGGAACTACAAAAAAATTTTGAAAATCGGGACAAATCTGTGGCCCCATTGATGAAACAACTAAAATTAGAAAGTATAAACACTTAGCTGGGACAGTCATTTAACAGGAAGCAGATATTGTAAATTGCTATACTAGGAACCATATGGGTAGGAAGAGTATGAAATCCCTAAAACTTTATCTTTCATTGGTGAAGACCCTGTACTTAAATAATGCAGCAGGGTCGGGGCATTTTACAAGACCGATCAGATAATGTCTGTTATCTGACAACTAGTGGAAATTAGATTCCAAACCAAATGTATCACTTTCAGAACATGTGCTCTTTCCATTACAAAACCACAGAGAAATTGAGGACTGTCAACAAAGAACACCAGTCATCTTCAAGTTCCTGGTTGTAATAGTAACGCCATGATGGGGAGAGGCTGTTTCAGTGGTTTAACAGTCCTGGCCATTCAAGCCTGATATTTGCAAAACATGGAACTCATCCAGTGGTAACTTTGGCTTGAGAACTACTTTCACACTGACCAAACCTCATTATGAGGACAGAAAAGTGCATGCATTCTCATTTACAAGTGCTGCATTATATCAGCTGAAAAGAGGATGAATTTGCATGCAAGGCTCCTTTGCTACTGCATTTACTTAAGTTATCCTAAGGATTGTCAGCTTTCTTTTCCTTAATTTGCTCAAATGCCTATCATTTCTTCTGTATTCACCCCATTGCACTACTACCACCATCTATCCCACTCAGATTGCCACATTCATTTGACTCCTACAAAGGTGACAGGCATTGAGATTTCTTTTCCTTCCCTAATGTGACTAGCCCAAACGTGAATATCCATCTGCCCTCCTTGACATATTCTCAGCTTAGCATCCTACAGTTTCCTCAAACTCAACAACTTCCCCAAAGTTTTTTGCTTTGCTTCCCCAAAGCAAAAGGAAAAAAAAACAAACAAAAAACATTTCCTGGTTCCCAACTTTGTAAATGCATTACCCATCTGGGAAACTAAGGCGGAAACATGTAGCCCTTGAATACTTTTCTCCACTTGCTTTTAAAATTGTTAATGTTTATAGAGTCTGCTCTATTTCAGTGCTCAAGAAGTCAGTAAACTTCTGGTCAAAATGGCACCATAGGCAGATATGGCTCACCTCTTTGCACAACCACATCAAAATTATAGCTGAAAGATAGAACAACCATCAGTGAGAACCATCAGAAATTAGTTGAACAGAAATCTAAAAGCTATGGAATTAAAGAAATCACATCCATCCAGACTGAACCAACAAGCTGGTGCCATATCAGAAACTCCATCAATTTGGCTAACATTGTTTGACCTGCCTTGGAGATCTCCAGAGATTGAGCCCCACCCAACTTATGGGCCCACCCGGGCTGCTTTTCCATATAAATGGCTGGTCTTGGCTCATGCTGCACTACCTCCTAAAACCTCTCAAATAAGCAACAGTTGGCCTCAGGGAGCCCCAGACCCAGCAGTAGCAGCAGCCAGCCTAGGTTCACAGCTTGGCTTCACATGGAAATCTCCAAGCCCAGAACAAGTAGCAGCCATCTCAGATTGCTTTATAGTTCAGGCAGGGTGACCCTGGACAAAACACAGGTGGGGGCTCATCTTGGCTTTCACCACCAACACCCCAGGACCAGTGCACCAGTGGACAGCTACAGCCACCATTGGAGCAGTGAGTGACACCACTATGCTCTTGCACAGCTGATTCTCCATGGACAGTGGAGTTAGGTGGTCAGTGGTCACAGCCAATCCCAGGAGCTAACTGGCCTGGGTAAATCCCTCCTGTTGATCTGCTAACAGCAACCAAGGCTGAACTACAAGAGGAGGTGTACTCAGCACACATGGAGATTGCACCTCGAGTATCCAGCTTGGGTGATAGGGGAGGTAGTGACAGTGGACCTTCCCAGACACCTACTACATTAGGCCACACTACCAAGACAAGGAGTCATAGCAGCTCTACCGAATACATAGAAACAAACACAAGGAGGCTGCCAAAATGAGACAAAAAAAACCCCAAAAAACAAAAAAAAAACAAACATGGCCCAAATGAAAGAACAGATCAAAACTCCAGAAAAAGAATGAAACAAAATGAGATATGCAATCTATCAGATGCAGAGATCAAAACATTGGTTATAAGGATGCTCAAGAACTTAGTGAGGACCTCAACAGCATAAAAAAGATCCAATCAAAAATGAAGGATACACTAATTGAAATAAATAACAAGTTATAGGGTAATAACAATAGAGTGGATGAAGCCAAGAATCAAATAAATGATTTGGAACATAAAAAAGCAAAACACAGCCAATCAGAACAAGAAGAAAAGAGAATAAAAAAAAAAATGGGGATAGTAGAAGCTGCCTCTGGGACAACTTCAAGAGGTCCAACATTTGCATCACAGGGATGCCATAAGAAGAAGATAAAGGAAGAAATTGGGACTCTATTTTAAAAAAATGAAAGAAAACTTCCCTAATTTGGTAAAGACAATGGACAGCAAGTCCAGAAAGCACAGAGTCCAAAACAAGTGGTCAGAGAGGCCCATTCAAAGACACATCATAATTAAAATGCCAAAGATTAAAGACAGAATTTTAAAAGCAGCGAGAAAAGCAGGTAGTTACCTACAGGGTATTTCCCATAAAACTCAGCTGATTTCTCAAAAGAAATTTTGCAGGCTAGAAGAAATTGGCAAGAAATATTCAAAGTTATGAAAACCAGGGACCAACAGCCAATATTACTCTTCCCAGCAAAGCTATCATTTATAATCGAAGAGCAGATAAAGAACTCCCCAGATGAGAAAAAAACTAAAGGAGTCTTGGCTGGTTTAACTCAGTGGATTGAGTGTGGGCTGTGAACCAAGGGTTGCTGGTTCCATTCCATCAGGGCATATGCCTGGGTTGTGGGCCAGATCACCAGTAGGGGGTATATGAGAGGTGAACCACACATTGATATTTCTCTCCCTCTTTCTCCTTTCCTTCCCCTCTCTCTAAAAACAAGTAAAATCTTTAAAAAAAACCAAAAAGCCCCGAAAGACTGAAGGAGTTCATTATTACCAAACCATTATTATATGAAATGTTAACGGGACTTATTTAAGGAAAAGATCAAAACTATGAACAATAAAATGATAATACATATCTGTCAACAACTGAATCTAAAAAACAAACTAAGTGAACAAGATCAGAGACAGAATCATGGATATGGAGAGCATTTTGATGGTTGCAAAATGAAAGGGGTGTGTGGAGGAACCAGGTTAAGAGGTGAAGAGATTAAGTACAAATAGGTAGTCATGGAATAGCCATGGGTTTATACAATATAGTATAGGAAATGGAGTAGCCCAAGAACTTATACACATGACCCATGGACATGAACAATGGTGTGGGGACTGCCTGAGGGTGTGGGGGCTGTGGGATGGAGGGGACAAAGGGGGAAAAATCAGGACAACTGTAGTAGCATAATCAATAAAATGTAACTAAAAAAATAAAATAAAAGACCAGAAAAAACAAAGGAGGCAGGGAGGGAGGAAGAGAGGAAAGAAGGAAAAAAGGATGTCCATTAAGACTGTAAACCCTATCTGGGTTTCTCTTCAGCTTATGCTGGGTTGCCAATGGATTCTAAAGTATGAATCTGTTCAACCTATTAATCAAGTTCCGTAATGACACTATTAGATACGAGAACAGTCTTAAAATCCCTGCTATAGTATGCAAGACTTGCATAATTTTCATCTTAGTTTTCAATCCTTTCCAATTCCCGTTTTTAGTCATATTACATAACCCAGTTGAATGGTTCCTCAAATGCCTCCTTTCACATAAAAACCTGTCATTTCCTTTTCCTGAAATGCCTTCTTAAATATTCCAAGTTCAATTTCCTTATGGCCCTAAAAACCAAACTCTCTCATGGTGGCCTTGAAATGCACTGCTTAAATCTGGTTAAAAGCATAATCGACTCAGCCTCAAGGGCTTTTTTTTTTTTTTTTGCCTTAAGGTTGCACTTCCTAAGCTGTGCTGGTAGTCAAAGGAGCCTGGTGTTACAAACTCTTTTCTGACAGCAAATTTGGCTTGAGACTCATCACTAAACTGAGCAAACCTTTCTCTCCTTCAAAGGTCTTTTTTGCCTTAAGGTTGCACTTCCTAAGCTGTGCTGGTAGTCAAAGGAGCCTGGTGTTACAAACTCTTTTCTGACAGCAAATCTGGCTTGAGACTCATCACTAAACTGAGCAAACCTTTCTCTCCTTCGAAGGTCTTTCAACACCCCAGTCCAGTATTTTTAGCATGCTAATTGTTTTTTAGCATGCTACTTGAGAACCCAAATACATCAGTTTGGCAAACTTTTCCATATAGTCAGTGTCTAATGAAAGGACTAGCTGTTACTGCATCAATCATCTACAACCACCTTGGTTCCTTTTATTTCAACACATTTTGAGGTTTGAAGTATTCTGCATCCCTGCCTCATTTCCTATTCAAAATATCTCAATCCTACACTTTTACATTAAAACATGGAGCTGAATAAAACTACACTGACCAGGCAATACTGTTATGGACCCCCAACATTATTTAGGAATGAGTCACTATTTTGACATTTCCATTTACCAGTTTCTTTCACTCTCAACCTAATGAAAGAGGCGATTACCAAAATAGTTAATAAAATGTAGTGCCAAAGGTGAAATTCTTACAGGTAAGTTGTAGACTTGGACATGCAGATCTGTGTCATGGTACATACCTGTACTGGCAAAAATTGATGGCTCTGTACTTCATGGAATGTTATGACTCCACTTGTCTACAAGCTTACCAGAGGCTAAGTGTCAGTGCTCCATCACTATAAACCTTCCAAGGTACTCCTTTTTCCACTGTCCCCAACCGAAGTTTCATCATACATACACAACCCTCTGACTTCTTTTATACTTGGAAACTACCACCATTTAAGCACACAGTTAGTGAATGTGGGCAAAGTGATTTTTAAGTCACTTAATAAAAAACACAAGAGTTGACAGCCATTTTATTTACTCTTTAAAATAGATTTTATTTACTTATTTGAGAGGGGAGAGGGAGAAAAAGATGAGAACCATAGATGTGTGAGTGAAACATTCATTAGTTGGCTATCCTTTGCATCTTGACCAGGGACTGAACCTGCAACCCAACCATGTCTCCCAACCTAGAATCCTTTGCTTGCCAGAGGGCCCGCAAGTGAGCCACACAGTCAGGGTTATTATTTATCAGTAAGTTTAAATCCTGGAGGGGTACAGCATCTGGAGGGGGGAAAAGAGCACACTATCATTAGGTGCATGTTATATACAAATTTACAAATGTTATTAACACAGTATCGGTAAATCTCCCATTGCCCCATTACTCATCTCTGAAAGGCATCCAGTGACATTCGCAGGTGGGCAAGGAACCAAGTTTTATACCCTTCAGCTTTTAGGTGAATGTGTTTTGATTAAGAAGTATTCTGGGAGCACTGAAAGTTCATTTACTTTTACTTTTTTTTTTAATAATAAATTTTATTTAGTTACTTTTCAAGTACATTTTTTTATCTATTTCTCCCATCCCACCCCCCCCAGCCTGTCTCCCCCCTCCCTCCAATTTCCCCTCCTACTTTTACTTTGTTTAATGGCAGTAAGAAACTTCCTTTGATAAGAGCCCACAACTGCTCAGCAAGGTTCAAGAGTATGCCATGACAGGCTGGGAACAAAAGGGTCCCTGGTTCAATTCCCAGTCAGGGCACATGCCTGGATTGTGGGCCAGGTCCCCATGACCTCAAGACTATAGCCATGACTATTAAAAACTGATCCTAACTAAAGAAAATGAGAATTGTTTTAGAAAACCACAGGATCAACAGTCAGACTTGGGCCCAAGTCCTGGGACCTAGAAACATGAACATTAGTTTTCTTCTACAAAATAAGACTAACATCACCTATTCTAACAAACTGTCGTAATAAGGAGATGAGATAATATTAAGAATTATGTTAGGAAACAATGTTTTTAATTTTCTAGCAACTACTTCAAGTGCCCAATAAATATTTTTGCCAGAAAATTATTCACTTATATACTATTTTCCTCCTACACCACTTTCAGCAAAATCTGAAATCTAAGCACAATTCATTTGAAAATTCTGTATTCACTTTCCTTCTAATGTCAAGAATCTAATGTTTCATAATACATTTACACAGAGCCACTAATTTTGCAGCATAGTCTTACTGGTGACATTTTCTAATCCCAATAGTTCTTAGAGGTCAAAGTATACCTGGAGCTTAGTTTGACTCAACAAGGTGTCATATTGCTAATAATTGTACTTACTACACGGATTCTGTGTCCAATGGCCTTAGCAGGAAGGTTGCTTCGGAATTTAGCACGAACCATGCCACTGTTTCCATGAGCACGAGTTACCTTTCCCCAGATTACTCTGGTTTTGTTTGGTTTACCACCAGGAGTCACTGTGTTGCTGATTTTAAAAGGGAGTAAGAACCCAAACAATTAGTACCAGAATGTGGTACAAGTTCAAAGTGATATCTGGACTAGTGGCCCTCAACTCTGGTTAACCACTTAAGGTACCATTTAAACCCCAGGGGCATCATTCATTCAACAAATACTTGAGAACCATACCTACTATATGCTAGGCACTTTTATAAATGTAATTTTGGGGGAACTTTGTAAAATACAGTTTACGAAATATAAATTGCTTTCAGAGGATAACAAAATATATAGCCTTCAGTTTTATGTTAAGTAAAATATATATAATTTAAGAGCTGCAATATTGAAAAAGAAAAAAAAAAGGAAAGGTGGACAAGTAATTTGAAAATATTTGTTTCAAATTTTAAATAACCAGGAAGGTCTCACAGAGAAGGTAACACTGAAACAAAAACTGAGGAGGTGGTGTCCCTTGTTTGGGGAAAGGAGTGAATCCTAGCTGGATTAGGAGTGCAACTAGGAAGCCCTGAATGCCTAAGGTCTTTAACGATGTTGGCTTTTACTAAATGACATGGGACTCGGTTGGCGTGTGAGCAGTGTACAGATGACCTGACATATTTTAAAGGATCACTGTGGGTGCAGGAGGAAAGGAGGACAAAGATGAAGGCATGTATCTAGAGATTTTAATTGGTCTGGAATGGGTTTATGAAAGTAGGATAAAGAATCAATGCTCTACAGACAGACATAACACTTTAAGTACATATATAAAATAAAATTTCAAGGAATCAACAAAATAAAGGTACATGAAGAGTGCTTTATATTATCTTAGTGAAACATGACAGTACTATAAACTTACTTCTTTGCTTTGTACACATAAGCACATCTCTTTCCTAGATAGAATTCAGTTTCATCTCGAGCATAAACACCTTCGATTTTAAGAAGAGCTGTGTGCTCCCTCTGGTTCCGGAGACCCCGTTTATAGCCAGCAAAAATGGCCTTGGACCACAGCCTGAAACACAGAAAATATGTATCGTCCACAAGCTGTCATCCTATCCCATTTAACTTCAACAACTAGCATGATTTCACCTGTAATGACCCCTTCCCAAAAGTTATCTATAGCAAACATCTTTTCCCCCCACTAGTTTAAAGCTCACATTTAATTAGGCCTGGGCCTAATAAACAAAAAAGTACAAGAACAAAGCAATTATATTAAAAACGCGTACCTTCCAGACATATTTGTTGTTGCAGAAGTTCGGTTCCCGGCAGTCTTTAAAATAAAGAGGATCAGTTTAAAGTCTTGCAAAGCCACGTTCGCCACTTAGTTCCCTTATCACTTCTTAAACCTGCTAAGTAAAATCACTTTCTGATAGGCATTTCGAGTTCAGAGTACCGGGAAACGTAATCATGTTGTAACATCTAAGCGAATGGCAGTCTGGCAAGACATCCCAACCTCACAGAATGCCTGCTAGAGAAACTCCAAAATGAAACGAAAGCGGCAAGACTGTACACTAAACCCGTAGAAAAACCCAAAAGTAAGTCCTAATAAAACTCATGCCATAATCACTCCAAAAAAAACTGAGTCAGACGAACACCGGAAAAACAAGAGTCAAAAGGAGGTTTTCTCCTTCCCTTCGCACCCACCCCTTAAAGCAATGAATGAAAGAAAAGCTGAAGAGACTGTGGACAAGCAAAGCCAGGAGGGTGAGCGAATAGAAAGAACCCAGCCAAAAGCAGACACTGCCTCAAACAGGCAAATGCAGGCGACTGAAGTGCATCTATTTCACTCCCTTAGGGCCCAGGAAGCAACTATGATCCCGGGAGCACCCGTTTTCGGGACGTCAGGGGACCAGCACCATCAGTCCTACATCTCCTCCATCCCGTCCTCCCTGTTGCTGGAATTCACAGCAATCAATGCCTAGCAGAGCCTCCGTGCCACAAAAACGCCTCGCCGAGATATGCGGCGAAACCCACTCCAGCTATTTACCACCCAAAGTTCAGTAGCAGGAATTCAACTCACCACCACAGGGTTCAAGATGGCGAAAAAGAAAAGCGAGGCCTCCACCGCTTGGCCTTGTGGGATACACACGTCTCTGCCCCTCCCTCAGTTTAGGCATCTTCCGCAATCGCCAAAAAGAAAGCCCTAGAAGTCGTTTTCTGACCGAAAGAAGTTACGTTCAAGAGCACTCGTAAAATTTTTTCCTAAGCCATTTCATCTTTGTAAGGTGCAGTGTGTATTATTTTGGAAGTAAGGAAGGCAAAAGTGGTAGCCAGCTAAGTGACAAGACGTGAAGGACCCACAAAGCTACGCGTTGCTATAGAAACACCTCCGCTAGATTCCTGAGTCTTCGGTTAAGGTAGGTGGAAAAAGTGAGGCCAGAGTGGAGGATATTGCTCGGCTTCGGGTGCTCCAGACTTGACTCGCCAACGTAGGGGTGTTTTTCCTTCTTACCGCACAGGAGTAGGGCGGTCTGAGACTCTCGGATTCCAGCCTGGACGAGAAAGGCCGGAAGCACGGAGTGAGCAGCCTTCTCTTTACCTTCCCCTCCCCCCCCTCCCTCACTCCTTCTACTACTGTATCTTTTTTTGCGGAAATGGCATAAGTCCTTACTTCTGTCCTTTGTTTTGTCCCCGAGACTAAGGGCTGTACTGAAAAGGACTTACTCCTTAAAAAAAAAAAAAAAAGAATTGATTGATTGATTGATTGAGAAAGAGAAAGAGGAGGGGAAGGGAGGGAGAGGGGGAGGGGTTCGCTGCCTCTCCCACGACTCCGGAGTCCCCCGGAGTCCCGACTGGGGAGCCGAACCGCCACCGAGGCCGTCCGGCGGTGGCCCTGGAAGACGTCACCTAACTGAGCCACACCCGTCAGGGCAAGCCTTGTTCTTTACAAGGAAAACGACCAGGCAAACTGTCCGGGCCCCCAACATCGTGCCTGAAATGCAGAAATGACTTAAGTTCTTAACTCCATCCATGCCATGTAGCACTGTGCACACACATAATAGATCTTTAGTAATTGTGGAGACGAGCATGGTGAGATAGACTAATGGGCATTGGCGACTTTTCCTAATCATTGCACATTCATTTGGGTTACTCGATGGATGCATTCATTTATTGAACAGTTTATCGAATGACTCCCGGGTCCCAAACTTTGTTGTTGGCTTGGAGGACAGTGCAGTAAACAGAAAGCCCCAGAAATCTCTACCCTCATAGAGCTTACTTTCTAGTAGGGGGAGCAAGACAATCTGTAAGGTATTTGGCACGTTAGAAGGTAATGTGAGAAAAGTTTTCTATATGGGAAAAAAATTAAGGAGGACTGAAAGGCTTTTAGCCCTGACTGGTGAGGCTCAGGTGGTTTGGGCATTGTTCAGCTAAGCTAAGGGTCGCTGGTTCGTTCCTGGTCAGGGCCCCTACCTGGGTCGTGGGATTGGTCCCTAGTAGAGGCAAGTGATCCATGTTTCTCTCCCTTCTCCTCGATCTAAAAATAAATAAATAAATAAAATCTTTTTAAAAAGAAAAGGAGTCTTTTACTCTGAAATGGGAAGCCACTTGAGAGTTCTCTACAGAGGAATTACTCAATCTGACTTTTCATTTTAACAGAGTAACTGTGTTGGGTCTAAAGGAAAACAAGTGCACCAGCATGGAGATCATTTGGAAGGTATTGTGAATATCTTGACGAGAAATTACGGGTGTAGACATAGATGATCAGTACTGGAATTCTGAATATATTCTAAATGTATTTAAAATACATTTTTTACCATACAATCTGTATTTAAAATACAGATTTTAAAATACATTCTGTATCCACCAGATTTGCCAATGGATAAGAAATGAGAAAGAAGAGGTGCAGAGCAATCATATTTTAAATTAGCTCCTTGTAAATACATTAGGATAGAGTTTACATGCCTTTATAGCCTACTCTTCCCCATCCATTTTCTCTGTCCCAAAAATAGACTAGAAGTCCCACTATTAGAGAATGTGCTAGCAATTCCACTATTAAATGTACTAGGAAAGTACTCTTGGGAAGAATAACACATTGTGAGTTTTATTCCTTTGCTCATTTAGCATAGTGCCTGAAAATTAGGATACAATAGTATCATTATCATGGTTCCTGATCTTACTGAAATTAACAGTCTAGTGGGGGGTAACTGACATAAACATTACAAATTGTAAAGAGAGCTCTGTAGGAAAGTACAGTGAGTGCTGGAACAGAGGAATCCTGATCCAGCCTAACGAGTTGGGGAAAGTGTCACTTGCAGAAGCGTCAGTTAAAGTATTCTTCAAACTGCAGGTAGTGACCCATTAGTAGATCATGATTATAATTATGTTTAAGCAAAATGTGATAGAATCAAAATATCAATATATAACCCATGTTATAGGTAAATTTCATCTGTGTATAATCTATCTATCTCTCTATATATATATGAGGTCTTTTTAGAAGGTATCCAGCCATGTAATATGAAAAATAGAGATATTTATTAAAGAAGATGCAAAACAAAAAGAAACATTGTACGTGAGACAGTGACACCTCAGACCTCTAAAGTGGGCACCTTAGGACATCACATAGTTTTCTTAATTGCCATCAGCTGCCCTGGCGTATTTTCCTGAATCTCATTGACTGTCTGAAATCTCTTCCTTTTCAAAGATGATTTTAGTTTTGGTAAAAGTCCCAGGGCACTATATCTGGGCTGTAAGGGAGCTGAGTCACCTGGGTGATTTGATATTTCACAAAAAAACCCTACATAAGACATGCATGAGCTGGTGTGTTGTCATGATAAAGCTGCCAATCACCAGTCACCCATAGCTGCAGCCTTCTGAATTGTCTGAATAGTTTCTGCAGAGTAATGTGCAAGTGTAAAACAAAATTTAATGCAGAGTCGTTGCTCTACTCACTCAGTCATTTTTAAAAAATATTTTTAAAATTAATTTTAGAGAGGGGACAGGAAGGAGAAAGAGTGGGAGAGAAACATCAATGTGTGGTTGCCTCTTATATGTCCCCCACTGGGGACCTGGCCCTCAACCCAGGCATGTGCCCCAACTGGGAATTGAACTGGCGACCCTTTGCTTCGCAGGCCCACACTCAGTAAGCTGTACCAGCCAGGGCTCACTCAGTCATTTTGAGTGCAGTGACCACACAGTACACCTGCTCACTCAATGGTGTCTACTACTCCCATGACTAGTACAGTGACGTCATCATTGTTCACAGACTCGCATTCCAGTCCTCTCTCCTTGGCTGCCAGGTTACACTGATGTTGGGCAAACTGTTCTTGTAGTATTAACAATGGTTAGACTTTTTCTGGATAGATCTTGCATATTGCATATAAAAATGTATGCATGTCATTGCAGGACATTGTGTCAGTGTTACCTTGGAAGAATTGGCAGAGTTGAAGAGAATTTAATAAGGAGTTTGCTTACAAAAGTGCAGGCAGGAGTGAAGTTATAAGGGATGATGCAGTCTGTAGGCACATGGAAAGAAGTTACCTGAGCTTCTAAGAGAGTAATATGGAGAGGATTGTCTGACAAGAGCCTTGGCCTTTGGTAGAGAAACAGCCAACAAATGGTAGTCTGATAGGGAGGGAGCTGCGGGAATAAACACCTGACTTTACAATCTTATACTTGGGATCTCTTTTGAAATCTGCCACTGATTCATAAGGATCAGTCTCAGGGCACAGACAATGGTGGACATGGATCTAGAGGGGCAAAAGGCAGATACCTAGCAAAATGCCAATGATTTAAGCTGCCACCTGGTGGGACTTTTGTTTGCCCTTCAGTTCTACACCAATTTTGAATAAGAACTGCAAGGCGAACAAAAGATTTTATTTGGGGTGTTTTTTAGGAGTTGTAGTCTGGGAGACACAAGCTTTGGGTAGAAACCCCAACTATGTTCTAGGGAGGAAAGGGAGAGTTTGTAAAGACAGAAAAGGGGGGCTTCCAAAGGGATCATACAAGTTGTTTTGAAAAAGCTGTGATTGGTGCAGGCAAGTGTACTGACACTATGATGCTATACATGATTAATTGGTGATGTCTATTGCTAGGTGAAAATTTTATTTTTTTAAAGTGTATTTTATTATGGTATTACAGTTGTTCCACTTTTCTTCCCTTTATTCCCCTCCCACCTCCTGTACCCCACCTCCCACCAGCTTTCCCCAACCTTAGTTTATGTCCATGGGTCATACATGTAAGTTCTTTGGCTTCTCCATTTCCCATACTATTCTTAACCTTCCCCTGTCTATTTTGTACCTGCCACTTATGCTTCTTATTCCTTGTACTTTTTTCTCCCATTATCCTCCTTTCTCTCACAGCTGATAACCCGCCATGTGATCTCCATTTCTGTAATTCTGTTCCTGTCCTAGTTATTTGCCTAGTTTGTTTTTGTTTTTTTAGGTTCAGTTTTTGAAAGTTGTGAGTTTGTTGTCATTTTTTACAGAAATTGCAAAGCAGTTCAGTAGAGGAATGATAGCCCTTTCAACAAAGGATGCCCTAGATCCTGAAGATGCTCTTTTATATTTTTCTTAAAGTGTTGTAATTTTATATTTTCATTTAAGTGCATGATCTGTTTTGAGTTAAATTTTGTATGAAATTTTATTTTTTTTAATGGAGAGTTCATTGATGCAGAGTCATATCTAGGAACTGTATCAGGATGTAGCTGTTCAGGTTAGCCCAGTTGAAAAGTTCAGTTTCACATAAAGGGAGATGAGTTAACTCAGCTTCCTGAGGACTTCTGGCTCCCTCTTAGATTGCTCTCTTGACAGTATCAACTTCATTTTGTTGTTTTTCTTTTTTAAAAAATATTTCATTTATTTTTTTTAGAGGAAGGGAGGGAGAAAGAAAGGGAGAGAAACATCAGATTTATACATGCCTCAACTGGGGGCCTGTCCTGCAGCCCAGGCATGTACCCTGACTGGGAATCAAACCTACAACCTTTCAGTTTACAGGCTGGCGCTTAATCCAATGAGCCACACCAGCCAGGGCTGTTGTTTTTCTTTTATGTTGAAGAACTGGAGGAAGCCCATTGAGGCTGGAGCCATGACAGCAAGAAAAGGACAGTGCCAAATGGATCTGGAGAGGAACAAAGATGGGGAGCATATCATGAAGGCCTTATGGGCAAAGACTTTTAATTTTTGTTCTAAGACAATGGCAAACTATTGATGGGGTCTACGGAGAGTCATGATCAGGTTTTCGATTGTAAAAGATCAGTCTCATTTTGAAAAGATAACTTCCAATATGAAGGTCTTTAGAGTAGTTCAAGCAAGAAACATGGTTAAGCATGGAGTTGGGGAATATGGAAATATAAGTTAAATCCACAGGACTTGGTGATGGTTTAGATTGGAGGTTGTTGATATCACGAGACACTAAAACAGCACAAAAGCACTAGATACTGCATACACATAGCCCTGTTTTACCTATGTGAAGCACATTGACTTGTACCCCACACTGAAAAAATGGAAAAATAACACAACAAAAGAAAAGAGTCTTATTATCATCACATTACTTCCTTCTGAGACTGCCCTCGCACCAGAAAATTTGGCTAGTTTGCAGTATGGGTTTTTTTTTCCAATTTACATAAGCATTCTGTTTTATGTTTGAATTTTTGCATACGAACTTTTCATTCTGTGAGACATATTTTTACCACCCTTCTCAGGATCATTTTACCGTGGACAAAATCACACTGAAAACTTACCATTTACTATTTAGTCAGTGTAGATTAAAACTTTCCATAGAGAATTTAAAGCTCTTTTAAGCAGAAAGGACTTTGTTTTATTGAGGAGTGATAACATTTTTAAAAAGATTTTACTTATTTACTTTTAGAGAGGGCAAGGGAGGGAGAAAGAGAGGGAGAGAAATATCAGTGTGTGGTTGCCTCTCACGCATCTCCTACTGGGGACCTGTCCTGCAACCCAGGCATGTGTCCTGACGTGTCCTGACTGGGAATCAAACCAGTGACCCTCTGGTTCACAGGCTGGCACTCAATTCACTGAGCGACACCAACAGGCTTGAGGAGTGGTAATATCTTGATAGATGAATTAAACTGATTTTCAGGATAAATATGTTCTTCTAGGTGCAATCTCAAATATTCTTTAATTCCAGCTGGAGTAAGTCTGTTATGGACAGATCAAGGGAACAGAGTAATCTAATTAAATACTTTAGTTATCAGTACAACAGAAAAGTAAATTCATTGTATAGAGATTACCAATTTAAAAAATCAGAATATAATAAAAATATGAAAACTATGTTAGATATTAATTTCCCTTAAGAAGAGACTCACAGATTGCACTTATCTTCTAATAATTAAGCCAGTAACTTAATAGAACTGCACTAGATGATGATTCTTCCATCTCTAGGACTTTTCTAATAAGCAAAAAGGAGATAAGCCACAGCTCTTGTAATTCTTTAATTTTCTCTGAATGAAAAAGAGTATAGAAATTACTTAAATGTTACGCAGTACTCAAGCTAATCTCAATGTTTTCTTCTCATTTTAGGTTATTTCATTTTTGTGAGATTATAAATGTACCTGGGACATTACCAAAACTAACTTAAGAAGAATGGAAGAGTATGTTCAAAATTTTAATTTATTTTGTGTATATTTATTTAAATTATCCCTTATGTTAAATTTCTGTTATTATTTATCTAATGATGTGTAACAAATTACCCCAACAACTTAGCTACTTAAAATATAAACATTTATTATTTCAGAGTTTCTGTGGGTCAGGGATTTGGGAGCAGTTTAGATGATGGTCCTAGCATGGAGTCTCTCATAAGGATAAAGTTGGCCAGGGCTGCAATTATCTGGAGACTTGGAGCAGGAGGATTCACAGCCAAGTTGTCTCATTTATAGAGCTGGCTTGTTGGCTGGCTGTTGGCAAGAGGCCTTTGTTCCTCACCCTTATGACTCTATCCACATCACTCTCCTCTTGACAAGACAGCTGGTTTTCCACAGAGTGAGAGAGATGAGAGAATAAGGTAGAAGCCTTAATGTCTTCTATCACCTAGCCTTGGCACCCACAATATCCATTTCATTACATAGGTTAGTCCTATTCAATGTGGGGGAGACTACAAAAGGGCATGAAGATGAGAATCATGTGGGCCTCCTTGAGACCATCTAGCACATTCTGTTTTTCACTAATCATGAGATGCTTGGTTAGCATTTAAAGATCTTGCTAGGAAAAAAGTTGATTTTGGTTTAAATTCAAATTGGTTAAGCATAGCCAAATTTCATGGATTACATCATTTTATTAAACAGTAAGTAGCTTGCCTATGGTTGATCAAAATGTCACCGAGAAGTATTTGGCAGAATCACATGCAGACTCCTACTTTTGTGCTTTATCTTGGTTATAATATATGATAATATTGATTTCACAGGAGCTAGTGTGCATGCTGCCTGTGCTTTTGAATTAAAGTAATTTTAAAACATTTGGTGGCTGACTTATTTTTTCTTTATTCTTTCCGCAGAGGCCAACTGGAAGTCTCAAGCCTTCCTCCAAAAACTTGGCATTCTGAGGTGACTGTGTCAGTGACAGGCGAACCACCTAGTGTTGTAGAAGAGGAAGAAACAGCCAAAGAAGCAGACATAGATACCATTCCAGAAGTTATAGAGCCACTCTCCATTCTAGATATGCTGAGGATCTCTGCAGTTCTGGAGGATACCATAGACCAGCTCTCTATTCTAAACTATATTATGCCAGTTCAGTGTGAAAGAAGACAAAGTGCCCTCATGGTATATATATACTCACTATTATTTAATCTTTTTTTTGTTTGTTTTTCTTTTTCATCATTTATAGTACCTGTGTCATTAAGTTTAACTTGGGAAATAGCATCTTTATCTCAGATAAATGGCTGTAATAATTACCTAAAATGTAGGCTCTAAGTTGCTGGAGCGAAATATCCGTAGTTCAAGGTACATTACCAATCATAATGTCCTTGTCTTTCAGTAGGATGGCATTATTCAAAAGGCCTATAGCTAAATCAGTATAAATACAGTATATGCTCTGAGGTGAGACAAATTACTGAATTATCTGTTTGTATTTGTCAGTTGCTAAAAGCTCACTGACACTAGTGGGAGGAAATTGAATTACTGGACCCTCTAAACATTGCTCTAATCAGAAATTACTTTGTTGTCGTCGTAGAATATGTTGCAGTCTGCCTTTCTGAATACCCGTCACAACACTCTCAGCTATTTCATTTTCAGTGATGTTACAGACTTCTCAAAGCACTTGCTGAGTTATCAAAAAACTCAACTTGGTAGTGTGCAAAAGCTTTATAAATTCTTAACTTACTAATTTTAATAACAGGTTATAGATATAAAATAAAAAATTTAAATACAAATACATATTTATTGGTAGCTGGAGATTGTTGGAGAAAGCGGCAGCTGCCCCAGTGGAGGTGACCATGATGATGGAGCTGTCTCACGGAGCCAGTACCAGCCAGAGCATGTTACCCGCTGGCGCTGCGGTGACCACTCACCTTCCTCCAGCCGGCTGCCTGTTGCCCTGCACTGTTGTGGCCTGCGCAGAACCATGGCTCTGCTCCTAGTGCTTCTGTCCTTAGTGGCAGGTGTGTTGGGGAATGAGTTTACTATATTAAGATCACCAGAGTATGTTGTTTTCCGCAACGGAAGTTGGCCTATACCAGGAGAGCGAATTCCAGATGTGGCTGCATTAGCCATGGGCTTCTCTGTGAAAGAAGAGCTTTCTTGGCCAGGACTTGCCATCGGTAACCTGTTTCGTCGTCCTCAAGCTACCATTATGGTGATAGTGAAGGGAATGGATAAACTCACTCTACCTCCAGGCAGTGCCATTTCATATCCTTTGGAGAATGAAGTTCCTTTTAGTCTTGACAATATTGCAGATTCCATTCACTCCTTATTTTCTGAAGAAACACCTATAGTTTTACAGTTGGCTCCCAGTGAGGAAAGAGTATATATGATGGGGAAGGCAAATTCAGTTTTTGAAGATCTTTCAGTCACATTAGCACAGCTCCACAATCGCCTGTTTCAAGAAAATTCTATTCTTAATTCACTTCCCGTCAATTCTCTAAGTGGAAACAATGATGTTGATCTGCTCTTTTTTTCTGAACTGCAAGTTCTGTGTGATATTCCAGGTTTGTTGTCTCAACATAAGCATCTAGCCAAGGATCATTCTCCTGATTTATATGTACTAGAGCTGGCAGGTTTGGATGAAATTGGGAAACATTACGGAGAAGGTTCTGAACAATTCAGAGATGCTTCTAAGGTCCTTCTTGATGTTCTGCGAAAGTTTGCAGATGACATGTATAATCTTTATGATGGGAATGCAGTGGTAGAACTGGTGACTGTCAGATCATTTGACACATCCTTTGTGAGGAAGACAAGGACTATCCTTGAGGCAAAACAGCAGGGGAACCCATCAAGTCCTTATAAACTTGCATATCAATATAATTTTGAGTATCCTGTGGTTTTCAACATGATACTTTGGATAATGATCGCCTTGGCCTTGGCTGTGATTATCATCTCTTACAATATTTGGAACATGGATCCTGGATATGATAGCATCATTTATAGGATGACAAAACAGAAGATTCGAATGGATTGAACTTTCCTAATGCCAAAATTAGTAAAAGGGTTTGGAAATTGGCTGATTTGTGAAAATAAATTGTTTAATGTAATTTCAAGTAGATAGTATTCTTTAAATTTAAAAAAGAAAACAAATTGTGTTTTCTATTTTGTGTGTGCCTGTGAAGTTGTTTTTGAGTAAAGTATGGTGTTGACATGAATTGATTTGTGTGATAGATTCCATAATCTGCTTAAATATAATATAACCATTAATTATAATTTCATCCCATTTAGTATTTTAAAATAATGATATAAATGTAAAACACTTAGAATAGCTTGTGTTATTTATGTTGAGAAAATATGCTTAATTATTAGAGAAACTTAGGAATGCTAAACTCCCTTGCATAGGATAGGTGAAAATGATATCTGGGTTGTCATATCTATGAACGATTGTAAATGTCTTAATTTGATGTAAATATCTCTGAAACAAGAGAAAAGGTTTTTAACTTGAGAGCAGCCCTAAACTATGAAAGTGCATATACAGTCGCTTAGATTTGGAATTTTATGTAATTAACAGAGGATAGCTGTTTGTTTATTAATCTCTTCTGAAAGTTCAGTAATCTGAATGCTCTAGTGTGGATATTAAAAGTACTACATTGATCTAAGAAGAAAGTAGCTTTGTGGAGTTATAAATTCTCATACACACAAAAACAAATATTTAGGGGAGCTTCTTGGAGCATGAATATAAAAATCTTTTTTTTTTAAATTTTATCTATTTATCTTTAGAGGGGAAGGGAAGGAGAGAGAGAGAGAAACATCAATGTATGGTTGCCTTTCATGCGTCCCCCGCTGGGAATTGGCCTGCAGGGAACTGGCCTGCAACCCAGGAATGTGCCCTGACTGGGAATCGAACCGTGATTGTCTGGTTCGCAGGCCCGGGCTCAATCCACTGAGATAAAAATCTTTTTATTTCAGTAACTTTTCCCTCTGTGTAAGTTACCATGGTTTGTGTCATTATAGAGTATGGACAGCATCATTGTAGAATATTAAGTGTATGTAGATGCTCCCTACTTTTCACATGGAAGTGGACCAATGTCTATAGTGACAAAGTTAATGATTCCCTCAGAGCCCCCAAATACATATTTATTAAGTTTAGCAAAATTGGAGACTTCCACCAAGATGGAGGCGTAGGTGGAAGCACTGCGCCTTCTCGCACAACTAAGTTTAAAAACAAAGTTTTTTAAATAAAGAAAAGAAAAAATAAAAACAAAGTTTTAGCAACAAAGACACAGCCAAACCACAGAAAATTTAACTACACAAAGTCTGACAACAACCCTTCAGCCAAACCGGTAAGAGGGGCAGAGCCAGCAGCAGAGTGCCCTCGGGCAGGAAAGATCCACTGGACCAACCTGGGCACTTGACTCAGGTGCGCCAGCAGCCGTGGGCGGATCCCAGGTGTGGAGAAGCGGGTGGACCCACTGAGGGCGCAAGGTGTTGGACCCACTGAGAGCCGATCAGGGTCACATTCGAGCGCAGACAAACCAGTGAAGGAGGTAGCAGTGAGGGACCCAGCAGGCCACAGCTACAGGAAGCAGCAGAGGGAACCACCATGGTTCCTCTCTGACCCTGCCCCCACCTAGAGCGTCACAAACCAGCAACCTGGGTGGCCCCACCCTGGTGAATAACTAAGGCTCTGCTTCTCATATGTAACAGGCACAAACAGATCAAAACATGCCTCAAGTACAACTCAGAGCCCCAGAGCCTGTAAATCTAAGCGATGAAGAAATAGCCAAACTTTCAGATGCACAGTTCAAAACACTGGTGATTAGGATGCTTACAGAACTGGTTGATTTTAGTCACAAATTAGAGGAACATATGAAGGCTAACCTAATTGAAATGAATGGAAGTACACAGGAAACCAATAGTAATGGAGAGGAAACTGGGACTCATATCAAAGGAGTGGACCAGAAGGAGGAAAAACATGACCAAACAGAAAAGGATGAAGAAACAATTCAAAAAAAAAAATGAGAGGCTTAGGAACCACCAGGACATCTTTAAACATTCCAACATCCGAATTATAGGGGTACCAGAAGGGGGAGAGAAACAGCCACAAGTGGAAAACTTATTTGAACAACTAATAAAGGAGAACTTCCTCAATCTGGCAAAGGAAATAGATTTCCAGGAAATCCAGGAAGCTCAGAGAGTCCCAAAGAAGTTGGACCCAAGAAGAAACACACCAAGGCACATCATCATTACATTAGCCAAGATTAAAATGAAGGAAAGAATCCTAGAAGCAGCAAGAGATAAGGGGACAGTCACCTACAAAGGAGTTCCCATCAGACTGTCAGCGGATTTCTCAAAAGAGACCTTACAGGCAAGAAGGGGCTGGAAAGAAGTATTCCAAGTCATGAAATCCAAAGACCTACATCCAAGATTGCTCTACCCAGCAAAGCTTTCATTTAGAATGGAAGGACAGATAAAGTGCTTCTCAGATAAGACCAAATTCAAGGAGTTCATCATCACCAAGCCCTTATTATATGAAATGTTAAAGGGACTTACCTAAGAAAAAGAAGATAAAAAAGATGAACAGTGAAAGGACAGCAAACACAGTTATTAAGAACCATACCTAAAACAAAAGCAAACTAAAAGGACAGCTAGATCAGGAGCAGAACTATAGAGATGAAGATCATATGGTGGGTTAGCAACAGGGGAGTGGGAGAAGGAGAAGGGGGGAGAAGGTACAGAAAATAAGTAGCATAGACGGTAGGTAGAAAATAGGGGGGAGGGCAAGAATAGTATGGGAAATATAGAATCTAAAGAACTTGAGACACATGGTCATAAACTAAAGGGGGGAATGGTGGGGGATGGGGTGTGCAGGGTGGAGGGGAATGAAGGGGGAAATAGAACAACTGTAGTGGCATAATAAAATATTTTAAAATATTTTTTAAAAGTTTAGCAAAATTATATAATTTGTACAGAAAGTATTCTTATTTCTGATTCTATGACAAATGAAAATTGCTATATTAATGAGAGGGTAAATTGCTTTCTATGTCTAACAGAAAAGTATATATTTGTTGTGAGTAGATAATTAAATTTCCCTTTAATTGCTAAATACTGTATCACTAAAAAGAATAAAACAGCACAAAAGCTTTAGGAGCAATCCTAAATTGCTCCTTAGGATTTAAAAATTATTGTTGTTATTATTTATATAATCTGGGTTTACAAAGTTTTTTTTTAATTTTCCAAGTTTATACAAGATCTTAGTAGAACACTGGACTTGGAGTCAGGAGGCCTTTGCAGTTTAGTTGGGTGCTATGAGGGATTCATTTTACCGTGTTGGTCTTAGTTTTCTCACTTGTAAAATGTGATGGAATTTTAGCTAAATGATCTATATGGTCACATCCAATGCTAATATTCTGAGTTTTGGAGTAATTTTAAAATGACCTTAATAGATATTATAGGAACTTCACAGAAAATTAATTTCCTTATCAATTTATGAATGGCAAAGAGATCAGAAACCCAAGAACTCAGCCTTTCAATGCATTTAAAATAATACTCTAGTTAATAAATTAAGATAATTAACAAATAGTACATAAGAAACTAGCATTTCCTTCCTACTCATTGTTTCCTTCAGTAAGGATCAAAAATAAAAAGAGAAGAAACTCAGTTAACAAGTTAACTAATGAAGATACTCAGTTAACAAGATGAAGTCTTATAATACTTACCAATATTAATTTCAGTCATAAAAAATGGTAATTTGCCACTATAGAAATTTAAGAAAGAATGAAAAACACAAATTTATAAACCATGGTTGTCTGCACTCACCACTCCAATAACGAAAAGAACAAAACTTTTGTGTTGTTTTATTCTTTTTAATGATATAGTAGTCACAAAATTTTCTCAAGTAGAGGTTCTGCTTATGATTTTATAGAAGTGTAAATAATAAAGGCTTGCTCTCTTACCTTGATTAACAGCAGCCTAAAACCTCTTTCTCAATACAAGTTTGTTCCATAATTTTAAAAAATTGTGGATTTCTTAAGATAACTTTTTTTGTGTTTACTTCATAGTATTATAGGTGTTCTAATACATTAATTTTACTATGCCATTAACTTGTATGGCATAGGATATACATTTTAAAACCTTAGTATGTGTGTGGATTTTTTCTTCAAAGGCTTTATTTGTTTAGCCCTATAATAACTTCGGGGTGAAAGGTTGGTTAGCATTACTCCTTTTTTTTACAGCCATTTTTATAGCTAAAGACATCGAGTAGATTTTCATTTGTTACAGTCATGAAATAGAATAATGAAACTATATTAATATACCAGATATCAGAAGTAGGAGTAATTGGACCTACGTTTGGGAAGAGATTCCTTGAAGGAAATAACATTTTCTTATCTCTTAGAATTTAATACCTTATATTGTACATAGTGTGTGCTATATAAAGATGTTTTTTAATGGCTGGACTAGATAGAACATTTAGCTTCTTTAAAGTTTTCTTCTAAAAATTCATATTTATTTCTAGTAATCAGTAAATCCGTTTGACACGTTTGCTTCCTTTTCCAGATGCTTAAGCATAGAGGTAAAGGAAAAATGGTTAGGGCATTCAGAAAACCAGAGCTTCCTAGGCCTTACATTTCCCCTTTCTTTTCCTAGACAAAAAAATCTAAAATAATAACCATCCATGTATTGGAAGTTTTCCTTATGTCCAGACAAATTTCAGTCTAATTGCTAAAATTCTATTGCTTCTCTTTGTAGTCAATCAAATCAATTTTAATTTAAAGGAATATTTTAAAATGTAATTTCTTTTAAATTTTACTTATTTTTAGAAAGAGGGGAAGGGAAGGAGAGGGCGAGAAACAATGTGTGGTTGCTTCTCGTGCGCCCCCTACTAGGGGCCTGGATCACAACCCAGGCATGTACTCTGACTGGGAATGGAGCTGGTGACCCTTTGGTTCTCCGGCCTGCACTCAATCCACTGACCCACACCAGCCAGGGCTGAAATTTAATTCTTACTTAGGGCAGCAATTAGTTTTATCTTTGCCTATAAATGTTTTCTTCAGATCTGAATCTGTTTATTTTTTATATAAAGAGGAGTGATGTTGAGTCTGTATTTATTAACCTTTTAAAAAATATATTTATTTTTAGAGGTGGGGAGGGAGGTAGAAAGGGAGAGAAATATCAATATGTGGTTGCTTCTTGCACACCCCCTACTGGGGACCTG